CCACCCAGCCTGGAGCGCAGACCTGAACCCGTCCTCTGCAGCCGTGCAGACGAGCGTGCCCAGCCACACGCCCCGAGACCCCTCCCCACGCAGAGCTGTGCAGGGGGGAGGGGACGGGCCCACGATTCTCCTTCTGAAGGCCTGGGAATCGGCATTTGCTTTCCATCGTGACATGAGCCTGAAAATAGGCCCGTGTTCCCGGCGGCTGGAAAACAGCCATGCACGGCCAGCGGTGCTCCACGCAGGGCAGGCTCCATCCCAAGGTGACCTCAAACACCAGCGCCCTGGCGGGCGGGAGGCTTCCAAGGGTCCATCTGCTGGAACGGACACCTGGCGGGGAATCCCAGGTCCCACACCTGAGCCAACAAGCCTCCTAAAAGCCCGAGGGCCGCCATGGGACCCGAGGCTTCCTGGTCTGCGAGCTCCTGGCAGCTGAGCGCCCTGGGCAGACCGCAGTGAACGGGCCACAGCCAGGACAGGCAAGAGCACAGTCCACCAGCGGGGCAGGCAGCATGGTGCTACAAACAAAGGTCCCTGTGTCGGGGCGCTGTTGTTTTGATGCCCACAGCTGGATGGGCCACACGGCGCTCCTACACAGGGGCTCCCACCTCGCCACTGCCAGGGCAGAACCCCCGCTTTGGCTGTCCATCAGCCTCCTTTCTGGGCTCACTCCTCAGTCACTGCAGCTGCGCTGGCCCTGTCTGGGCATCAAGATGGTAGTGGGGGGGTCCCCTGCTGCACACAGGACCACCCTCCCTCACAAGAAAGAAGCCCCCAGGGCCGAGAGCATAGAGCACGCTACTGCTGAGAAGCCCGAGCGTGGGGGCAGAGGTGTGTGGGGCTCCAAAGCCCCCGGGACGGCTGTCGTGCTCACGGGCTCTCTCGGGGGGCCAGGCTCACATGTGAGCTCAGCTCTGGGGAGCCTTGGGTGGGAAGGGTTGGGACACATGATGGCGGCTTCCCTGAGACCCCCAGGAAGGGCAGAGTGCTGCTCTCCCCCGCCCTGCCGTCCAGGACGGAGAACCCCCCAGAGAAGAGCACACCTGGGCATGCAGGTGAGACTCACGGGCAGAGGTCCATGTGCAACCTGTCACAGGTGCTCGTGACAGATGCCCGCAGTGGCCACAGGATGGTGCGCTGCAATGTGCTTTAGCACAGCCCACCCACCTGGCACGTAGGGTTCCCAGAGCCTGCCCTGCTGTGGGCTCCACCTGCTCTGGAGCCCTTGGTGGGGACACCCAGTGGCAGAGCGCTGGGGCAGAAACACACGGCTGCATGGGGCGAGGGCCGGGGAGTGGAAGACCCTATCTACTGCACCCGCAGACGCAGGAGACTTCCTGGCTCTATTCTGGGCGCCGGCCACGGCTGCCGGGGTTCCAGGCGAACCACTTCCTGTTGCGGCCCCTGAGAAATGCCAGCAGACTGAGCACAGGAGGGAAGACCCCGTGGGAAACCGCCCCCCACCTTTGGCTTTACCCTTATTTCAGCTAAAATGTATGTAGCACCTTATTCAATGCAATGAGGCAGTTATCATGTCTCCCCCAAATGTCCACTACAGGAATACATACACAAATGTGTGTACATGCACGCACATACACATGCATACATCATACACACTATGTATGCAGGCACACACATACACACACGTATATACATAGACACACACACCAGACATACATATACATACACACACATACATATACCATAGACATACACATACAAACATGCACATACCTGTAGACACATAGACATGGACACACGTGTGTACACACACACACACACACACACATATATGAACTCAGGAACCCCAAGGGCCCTCTACCAATCCAGGTCCTGAAAGGGGTTCCTGGCTTCTCTGTGGTGTAGACAAACAAGGAAGGGGGAGCCCCACTGTCCCCACTGTGGGGCTCCGCAGGGTGCAGGAGACGCTCGGGGTCCGAGGCTCCTCTGACTCAGGCCTCCGCACCCAGCCGGCAGGTGTGCCTTGGAGACCACCTGCACGGGGCACCCGGCAGGCAGGCAGGCAGGCGGCACTAACAGCCTCTGTGCTGGCGGGGAAGCTTCCCTGACGTCAGGGACTGTCCAGCAGATGACAAGCTCTCACGGGGCCGTCTCCTCCCCTGTACCCCCACCCCCACCCCCCGACAGTGTAGACCAACCCACCTCAAAGGTTGGGCAAGATTCAGCGTGGGTGGAAAATGGGAAATGGAGCTTGGGGAGGAGGGAGCAGGAAGGGCTTCGGGAAAAACATACAAGCAGCCCCCCTGCACCCCCACACCCCAACCTGGCCCTGCCTGGCACCCGCTCACTCCCTGTTTTCCCTCTGCAGGGCACTTAACTTTCCAGGACTGTTTTGTGACTTCCGGGGTCTGGAATGTGACCGAGCTGGTGAGAGTATCACAGAGTAAGTGGCTCTGTTCCTTCTGGGCCAGGAGCAGCCCCCTCCACCCCTGGGCTCAGCAGGGAGGGGGTGTTGCCAGTGTAGGACCCAGATGACCCGGTGTCTCCTAGGGGCTGAGGGGGACAGACAGGGCTTCCTGAGACACCCTCTGCTCCTGTCACCGTCCGGGGGGAGCAGAGTCAGCCAGATGCACTGGGGCTCTAGTCTCCACAGTTTTGATGATGGGGGTGAGGGGTGGGGGAGACAACAACCAAAGGACTCTTCCCCAAGGACCCCCAT